TCTGTGTATTGCATATTATGTTGATGGACTCCTACCCGACTGTTTGTATGTAATGCACGGCGGCATTCCCAGTATCACCAGACTGCCAATTTATTTTCGTTGTTAGGGTGCCATAGTTGATGTGGGGTGTTGGACAGTAGATCACGGATTGTTGAATAGTAGATCACTGGGTTTTAAATAATAAATAACTGGAATTTGGATGGCAGGTCACTGATAATTGGTTAATAGTCATTCCCATGTTAAATTATCGTTACGCCTCAAACAACAGCACGGAACCCAGTATTAGTAACTCTTTAGCCATTTGAAACATTCCACTTCCTGTTAGAAGACTGAAAACCGCATCATGATAACCCTATAGATATTATTAAAAGTACATGTTCCGTTAGAGGTAAGAATGCCCTATAATATTACTTTAGGGGCTCCGAGTGGCAGAGTGGTCTAAAGCGCTGACCCTTACTGATCACTGCCATCTTACCTCTGTCTGCTTGAGTTCGAGTCCAGAATCGGCTAACGTGGGTAAGTGAGAAAGCCTGCCAGTAGCTTCTCGTGGGTCTGTGGTTCTTCCCGGGGTTTTCCTGGGTTCTTCCTCCACCATTAATACTGGCCGCCATGTATAGCCTATCTTGTGCTGAAAATGGCGTTAAGCCCTATAACAACAACAATATTATTATTATTATTATTATTATTATTATTATTATTATTATTATTATTATTATTATTATTATTATTATTTTTATTACTTTATATTCCCTTGACACAATGTTAAATCTATTGACTAATGTTAAACATATAGCCTAATGTTAGATTTTAACGGACCCCATGAAACGGACTAATGTTAATTTCCAACTGACCCCATATCAGCCCAAAATGTTAAATTCCCAAGGACTACATAAAAGCATAAAACACATATAAACACATATAATCCATCATTGCTACCGACGGCAGATAGGCTCATGTTCGAACCACTTAGAAATACTTCTGTCATACAAAAAATGCTTATAACAAATAGATATAGGGCATTATTACATGCATCTGAAACAGGAAGAAATTGACGTGTTCAATGTGATGATAAAGAAAAAGAGAAGAAGAAAAAAATAAGTGAAAGGCACTGAGGAAACAAAAGGAATGAATTTCTAACAGATATGCTTTTCAAGCAGTGTTGTAATCAGGCGACTTCGTTTATGTTAGAAACATTTGGTCGCAAAACTAAAAAGGCGCAGAAACAATTTTAAAAGTTTTTTCTTAATATTTTAAAGCGAAGTGTTGGCTAGACTGGTATTCAGTTTAAACATTATCTTATATTCTTATCTTTTACGTTCTTTTCTTGAAGTAGTTCTAAATTACATAATGTTTTCACAACATAATTATTTATTTTGCACATCGCAGAGTTCAGTTTCTGACCCGAAATCTCTGTATAGGAGATTTCTTCTTATCAATGGAGAGCTTATTCAATTCACTTTTTTAGACAGCCCCCCCCCCGAAAAAAATGTAATCAATTTGGGTTAGTATCTTTACATCATAAGATAAACAGAATTTACTGATTCATCATTAAACCTGTTTACATGGACTTCTGTTTGAAAATAGCATATATTGAGATTTAATTAACAGTACACGTTCAATACTTCAAATTGCATTGCACTCTGTTGGCAATTAATAAAGTAAATTGAAAAGTAAATGAACAAGCAATGGAAACGCCGATTTATTGAGTAGGAATTATAATTTATTCATTGTGTGTATGGGGTCAAAATGTAAATCTACAACAACAACAAAATTAAAGAGATATTTTCTATTAACATAGCCAGTGGGGTATGTGGTGATTGAAATCTTGTTGAATTCTAATTTTTTTAATGACATTTTAGAAACTTCATTATGCTTCTAATTATATTATACTTAATTTTATGTGATCACTATCTCTGGATTTTGACATGGAAAGCTTTACGAAACATTGGATGTAAAAAGGGATGTATTCAGACAAGAATATTCGACAAGAAACCAAAATGGAAGCAAGTAAATATACTGAATATAGTAATAATGATACATAACTACAAGACTATTATTTAGAGAGCTTTTGAAAGTAACGAGTTCTTTTGCTTTCTTTTTTTTTAATTTGCAACGTTTTAGGATCACAGAAAACGTAGAAGACAGGTAATAACGAATAACGAATATATTTAAAAAGACAGCAACAACAATAAACCCAACAACAACAATAACAAAAGAAAACAAACAAAAATCCCAAGTCAAAGTGTTCATCATAATAGGCTCACATTTATTTTAATTTCTTAAATAGGACATGTCATATGTTTTAATTTCTTACATAGGTCATGTCATATGTTTTAATTTCTTACATAGGTCATGTCATATGTTTTAATTTTTTACATAGGTCATGTCATGTTTTAATTTCTTACATAGGTCATGTCATATGTTTTAATTTCTTACATAGATCACGTCATATGTTTTAATTTATTACGTAGGTCATATAATTTATTTTACTTTCTTACAAAGGTCATGTCATTTATATCATTCTCTTACACACGTCATGTCACTTGTTTTACTGTACTACACAGGTCATGTCATTTGTTTGTTTACTTTCAAACAAACGTCACGCCAGTCATTTTACTTTCTTATACAGGTATTGTCATTTATTTTACTTTCCTACACAGGTCAAATTAAGGAATTGATACAGTCATGACAAGTTTGATATATTTTAATATACATTCATCAACGTTAATTTCTTTTATAGCAAACGTTTTACGAAAGGTTCATAATAATAAGATTGATTAGTAATGAAATATGACTTGAAATAAATCGATTACAATGGACACTTGATTATGTAGATGTCTTATTAGCATAAAACAAAAACAAACATTTTGCAAACTTATTTTTATGACAGATGAGGAGTTTAATATGACAGTGTGTAATAAAAAAATATGAATTCGTTTAATTGATTGTTTTTGGCGTAGTGACCAAAGTGTAAAGCAAATCATATTGTGTAGGAGTATGCTATTCCATTGTCATTCTGTCTTCGTACCTATCGTTTGATGCTCTTGTCACCTGAACGTTCTGTTGAACGCAATACTCATTCTGGATCTACTGGTTACTACCCATGTAATTTCATGACATACGATTTGTCCAACTATTCTGCACACGTACTTAAAAAGATATAATGTATATGACCACTCAAGTGATTTGAGCGTCCGCCTCAGATACGGGAGGTCGTGGGTTCTATCCCCGGTCGAGTCATATCAAAGACTTACAAAAATGGTACTAACAGCTCCCTCGCTTTTCGCTTAGCTTTAAGAGGTTAGTGTTAGAACTGGTCGACCTCGTGTCAGGATAAAGTGAGAGTGTGAGAAATGATGTTACGTGTCTGCGGCATGATGCCCCAATGCTAGGCATCACTAGGAACTGTCATACTGCATACATCGTAGCCACATGACTAAAGAATGGTTAGATTTACGTTAAAAATCCAAATCACACACTTACACACACACACACACTCGCACACATACACACACACACTATAATTTATATGCATCCGGTTATGGAAGTGGAAAAATATAGTTTTACTTATTTTTTAAAAAAAGCAGTTCAACTAAGGAACAAGATCAGATTTTGAGCTCGCTTAAGTATGGTAACGTAAGAATATGCTGTTATCGTGCAACACTGATATTACCAGACTCCGTTTAGTCGTGAAGACGGTGGTTATCGAAGCTTTTTTTTTTAAAGGACGGTGCGGACCTTGCTTAAATTCTACATTCAAAAAGTGATCAATGCCTTCTGTAAGAATCACGATCACTGCTGATATTTTATGAAAAAGACAAGTGGTTGAATTTTTTCCTCAAAAAACGAAACGTGCTTGATTGTTCAGTTTTGTGCGTATTTTGGCTGCCATTAAGACGAATCAAGTCAATCAAACCATAGGAAATGATCATTTTTAATTCATTCCCTACCCAAGTTCACAAAATGAAACAAGTTTTGCAGTTATAATTTGAAACTAAACTTTGTCGCAGATGTAAATATATTCAGAAGAAATCGTGCACAAAATAAGCCAGGTTCTTTGTCTTTCTTACTTTACTTATTACTTTGTAATAAGCCATATAGCTTTGACTTCTCATGTTCATGCCATGTTCATAGATTTACCACTTGCTCGATTTGTCTTCAGATGCATTGATATTCTATCTGATCAAACATTTCTCTTCATAACTGCCTGTGAAGTGCTCAGCATGTGTGTAAAACATGCAGTGTTTACTTAGCGAACAATAAGTCACAGCAAATAGATTTATTTCGCTTGTTAAACACTTGAGAAGAATCGAATAAAAAAAAAATGCGTCAGTCAGGTTCGTTCATGTGAAGAAATATTTTTCCCAAAGAGACCATGTAATTTTGACGACTATATTTATGGATGGCGCATCTTCAGCTGTATTGGTAATGATCAAAGTAAATACACAATATGCTTTTGTGAAGAAACAATAACATTGATGTAAGGTGTGTGTGTATGTGTGTGTGTGTGTGTGTGTGTGTGTGTGTGTGTGTGTGAAAGAGAGAGAGATATTTTAAACGTAGCTTTAACAAATTTGGTCATATCGCTATGTCTGCAGCGTAGCAGTTTATAGTGATGACTAACACTGGAGCAACATACAGCCGACATGCAGCACGATTTCCCACCTATATCCTACCACAAGGCCGACCAGTCCTAACACTAACCTCTTAATGCTGAACACCAAGCGTGGCAGCTGTTAGTACCACTTTTATGGTGGTGTGGTGGTGTTTATAATTTTTGACGTAGCTTTAACAATTTTTCAGTCATATCGTTTCGATGTCAGCAGTGTGGTAGTTTATAGTGATGTCTAGGACTGGGGCATCATGCCGCAGACATGTAGCATGATGTCCCCACCCAGTCACATTATCCTGACACCAGGCCGACCTGTCCTAATACTAACCTCTTAATGCTGAGCGTCAAGCGAGGCAGCTGTTAGTACCATTTTTGTAAGCCTTTGGTATGACTCAACCGGGGATCTAACCCACGACCTCCCGCATCCGAGGCGGACGCTCTAACCACTAGGCACACACCACTTTTATGTCTTTGGTATGACTTGGAAGGAACAATGAACCCTCTAAACAACGATCTCTATCTGAGAGTACGATACGTAGTATACAGGATTGTAAGTTACAAGTACACGTAACACTTTCTAGCCAAAGTAATATTCTCGATTTATGGAGTTCTTTCTGTCCTTTTTATCGTTCTTTCTTTCTTGTTAATATAAACCTTTTTTCTTAAGATTCATGAAAGAGTTTGCATTTTAAATGAAATTTCATCCCTTGTCCTTTCGATGAGATTGTATATATATATATATATATATATATATATATATATATATATATATATATATATATATATATATATATATATATATATAATGCGATGCAGAAACAGCAATGGCACTGGCTGCATTTTATGACAGTCAATGATCGATTTTCTATGAAAGCACAAGTCTTATGATTGAACATAGATTTTAACCCTACCATGGCAGGCAAATTTCTGCAAAGTGTCATGTTAAAAAAAGCAGTGTTGTCAATAAAAATGCACAAAGCACAATAAGTTTGAGGATAGCAGATAATACAAACCAACAATTTCAAACGTACTCCTAATTGGACCTATTGACGAAATCAGAATACTGCAATGCTAACCGTTTAAAATCGGCTTTTCTCACCAGAACATTCTGGATCCATGTATTTTCAGGACATACTAATTGTCGGCCTGTTCTGCACACGCACTTGAAAGATAAATTGTACATGCATATGGCTATGAAAGTGGAATACCGCAGTATTTCCTATTTTCAAAAGAAGTTCAGCTAAGGAACAAGATCATGTTTATAGCTTGTATAAGTAAAACTACCGTAAGAATGTCACTAAATGTTAGCAGATGTTAAGCAATCTAAACCGATTTATTTTTTAAATAAATCCCTACATTTTTAGAAGTTTAAAAAATAAATCAGGGCATCATAGACAAAAGCAAATGACAATTAATACTTCAAAGAAGAATCAAACAGTTCATTCTACTGAAAAAGAAAGTAAAAACTTGTGACCTGACACCATTTGCCTTCAAGCTTTGCCCATGAATAAATAATCACAAGTCTAAAAAATGTGAATGATGCTTGTAAACTCTGCTAGTTAAAGTTAAATATTATAAAACTGAATGTTTTTTTTTATCAGTAATCGTCAGGGTCCAACAAAAAAGAATTCGTTGGACTTATAAACTTAGTATGACTACATGATTACCATAGTTATTCTTTGCAGGGTCATAACAAATAAAACACAATCTGACATATCGAACGATTATGTTCATTGCGTAATTCTTGTGACCTTGGGAATGGATTTCATTACATAAAGTTTGTAACTCCCTAAGAAAATAAAAATAAATCTTTATCAAATCAAACTTTGATTGTAAAAAGGAAAACAAAACAACAAAACTTTGTGCTTAAAATATATGAGTTACTTAATAACAAGAAACAGGGCTAGTGACAAGAATTCAGGTAACAAGCTTTAAATTGCTCAGTGATGAGATTAGTTGTTTATCATTTGCTTAGACTTCTACTTTATCACAAATGGTCACATTGTTTTAAAAAGCTTTCAACTTGTTTTATGCATGAAGAAACGTCTTATTATTTATAAACCAACATCAAGGACTATCATATGACAAAGAATATTTCAGCGGATTTTTTTTCACAAGAAGAATGCAAATAAAAGATTATATACACGCAAGCAAGCCATCAAAAGAAAAATCGTCCCTTTTCCCCCACAAACTTCACGGGGAAAATATGACACATGTCAACAGCAAAGTTGGAGTCAACTTTCCATATTTATGGCACTAATTAGACACTAATGCAGGAAAAGCCAGCTATTTAATTCGCCAACTTGTGAGCAACTTCGTGTTTATAGAAGAGTTCCGGACGCTTCAGAGCAATCTCGCCAAAGAGACAAAAGTTTTAGTTCTTGATAAGCCAACTTAAAGACCGCAAACAATCGTGTTAATTCAATGACGTATCAAAGACGGCTTTACTTGCTGGAACATTTATTATTATTCATAATATTACTATATTTGAGTAGTTTTTATTTACTTTTTGGAGTACAAACAGTTGCATTCTCTCAACCTTTAGTCAGGTAAACACACGTGCTGGACATTTACAATCCCTAGGTTTAATGGTCGATATCAGTGTGGAAAATGTGAACGCCTCAGGTAAACAATGACATTTTTAACCAATTGCTAATGTGAAGTTGACATTTTTGGTGATGTATCTTTGCAACAACATTTTGGATCTCGATTAGAATATTCAGTAAAAGATTTACAGCTTAATATCTACCGTAATGCAACCATAATTAAATATATTACAGAAAACACGATTGCCTAAAGTTTCAATAGTAGTATGATTGTTGTTACTCCGTGTATAATCTTCAAAACTCCATAGCATGACTGTTTGTTTAATAAACCAGTAAAGATTTTTCGAATATCTACAAATATAAAAATATTTTCATGCAATCGATTTTCATATACAATGTACTATTTGAAATTTCATTTTAAATGCGCTAATGCAAATACTTAAGAAAGCTTTTAATGTAGTCAGTGTATGAAATGATTTTAAACGGTTATAATTCTTTTTAATTGAACTATGTAAATCCGTTTACAATATTACATTTATATAACACAAAAAAATAAAAAGTGAAACAATAAAAAAGCAAGCAACGTTAGCTATTATGTTGGCATTGCAAACCAAGGCTTTATCAAGAAGACAGCTTATATCTGAAGTTTATCAACAAAGTTGAAGTGAAATCTGAATGTATTCCCATTCTTGTTGCCCCTATGTAACAATAAAATAAACATAAGAGAGTCAAGCATCAGCTAAGTCCCTATAGAGGCAACAGGAGACCCAAGGACTTAAAGTTCGGGGTCACTGAAATGCACATGTACAAAATATACCAGATGAAAACATTTGTTTAAATTCATTCTGACTTTATTCAAGAATTGACATATTAAAAATCAATGTAATAGTTATTTAATACATTTTCTTCCGAGCATGGAGGTCGTTGCTAACTGGAGACAAAGTCGACTTTTTTAGGTCGTAACAATACGAATGTCGACATATCTGGAATACCGGGTATCATTTTTAGTATGCTTTCTACCCCACTGTTACATAAACTTACATCAAACCCATATGATGAATGTATAAGCAATTTAATATCATTTGAAGCTGTACTAAATAGGGCTTTTCGGATACTACAAATATCCAGTTTAGTTTCAAATACCTGACGAACCTACCACATTTGATTTAAATTTCCTTTATTTTCTAATTATTACATGTCCTACACATCAAAGAGTACAAAACGTTTTAAGATAATTTCAAAATGTCAGCGCTGTTGGTTAAAAACTTAAAGGTTCAAAACTCTTACACCTCACTTCATATCAGCTGTAATCTATAGGGTCTAGTTGTTTAATTAAGATGGTTTACGCCTTCTGAGAAGAATATGTATAATAAATTATTTAATTATCGCCCATACATGAGTTTGGGGAAAAGGAAAAGATGAGGGACGATGCCTTCCTTGTCAGGCATCCATGCTGTACACATTATGACATAAAAAGCGACAATAGAGCAAACTAAAAGCTGGCTTTCACTGGTTCAAAAGTGGATTTCCGGTATAAAGAATTGGAGTCTTCATTCCCTGGTAATCCCCCACCCACAAACGCATCCTCGGAGATGTGTATGTTCCTAAGCATGAGTAGCCAATCACCTCAAGAAAGATTTACACTTCATTTTATAATCCAATGAGACAGTAATCGAGATGGTTAAGCATGTTCGTCGGGAACATATAATTGCACCATACAGTTAGAATATTTTCAAAGTCCGTTTCAATTCTTATAACATTTACAATGAAAACAAAGAATGATATCAACGTTAAAAGACTTTTTGATCACATTTTCTGACCCTCCCCTCTCTGATACAGAGCTCGCAATTTATCCTGCTTCAAGAAAATTTCTGATTACAAAACATAAAGGTTATTCTTCTAGAAAATGATTTAAGAGGTAATATTTTGTTAATCAAAAGTTGTACACTTCATAATTGATTAACTGCATTTCAATTTTATGACTGTTCTTTACGAATTTTGATGCAGTAAATATTTAATTGACGGATGTTATCTATCGTATAGCAGGAGATCAGCATTCGGCCTGTGTCGTTCCTAAAACTGACGCGACGCATGTATACGTCCCTCAATCACGCAACGGTATCAGGAGACTAAAACACAAACAGTTGAGTAATCAGAAAGACGAGTGGTCACCTGCCCAGGAAACTCGTTTGGTTCAAAGCAAGTAAAAATATCTCACAGAAGTCCTTGATGAACAATATTATGGACTGAATCGACCTGTTTTCTTCAAAATAGTTTTCAAAATTATCACGTCATAACATAGGTTGTATTTGGACCGTATTCGTCACTTTGCTTCAGGAATAATTTTTGGATATGCCAAATGCTAATATGAATTTGGGATTGGGTTGATAAAAGCTTTTTTGCTATGAGCTTATACAGACTTTTCAGGTCAAATTATTCCTATTTTCATATCTTGATTTATTATAGCTATGCAAAAATATGGACCTTTGATTTAACTTATGTACTGGATTTTTCTCATGAGGTTTCATAATAGTTACGTTGATGTGGCACCATACATTTGCATAAAACAGCCCATTAACTATTAAACTTACCTTGCTTGATTTAGAGCTCAGTGCTTAAATCATATTTACTGCCTGTTCGACGATCTGCCACGTCTTCCGCTTTTTATTCGGTGGCCGTATTTAGAATTAATAAGGACATATCTGTAAACACTATCAAAATGGAGAGAAAAATGTTATTTATCGTACTTAATTAGGTTTAAATTATCCAGTAAAAAACGATGGTTTAATAACATATGGATCTAAATGAAAGGCCCTCTTTAGAGTTTAATTGAGGCGAACACATAATTAATCCTTTCATTATATTGGTGGGGTAAACGAATGGAGTACATTACATTTGGAAGCCATGGTTCGT